TCCACCTCTCCCCCTTTGATCCTGACAATGCAGTGCCATCATATATTCACTTTATTACCAACGAATGTTATATGGATATAGATAGACTTAAGATTTCTTTTTAAATCTTCTCCATTCATCTACAGGTTTCAGCCTTTTCCAGCTCTTTCTCACTTGCGTGCCCATGCTCACCTCCTCTGCCCCTAGTTCAGCTGCCACCTTCCTCTCTCTCTCACACCTGAAGACTCAGCAGCCAACAGAGTCAGTGCTTCTGTCTTTCAGTGTGGATTGACCTGCAGTTACTTCATTGTTTCTCCACGTACTGTAGAGCGTGTCGTAGTTGAGATTCTGAGCATGTTCCTGGGGCAAGGCACTTCTGAATCTGGGAGTGCTTGGCGGCGAGACGGGTGCAGCTGTGATCTGATAGTGGAGCAGTGTGTGTTGTCTCTGTCCCTCGTACAGCCTGGCGTCCTGGTCCGGCTGCTGTCTGCAGCGATACAGCGACCGTGGCTCTGGGGGCTCTACGTGTTCACTGTGGGGCTGCCCATCATCCTCTTCATCAGCTTCATGTGGCCGGACAAGGTCAGTCTCCGCCAAGCACTGACATGCCCATTATAGACATTGCCTCACTGACGATTAGCGCCACATTTCTCACACCTTACTACCTCATCTCGGGGTAAATCTTGCTTTTAAAGACCGAAGTCCTGGGATTTGACTTTACCGTTGCCCTACAAGGAACAAGGAAAGAGATAACAAGCAAGAACCGCTCTGGGAAATCACCGTGCTGTTGTGTGCTATGCAGAATCAGTGTTCAGAGGTCAGCCTGTATGCCCGGTCACCTGCACACTCACAGCAGCACTTAGCACGCAGCTTTCTCTGCTTGTCAGGGCATCGCTGTCCTTCAACCGTAGGCAGAAGAGCATGACGAACAAAAAAAGAAAAGTCTTACCCAAAGAGTTAAAGAAGACTTTATGAGCCTGAAGCTGCTTCCTGGAATAGTGTAGGGAGGGTAGTTTTCATAGTTGGAGAACAGGTTTCAAGTTTACCTGTGCCAAAGAACCCATAGGTTTCTTTTACTGTACTTCCGAATGTATCATTTGAGATATGGTGTAAGTACATAAGAGACCAAGAGACAGCATGATGAATTTATGTCTAGTCCAGTGGTCCGTTTGGATGACAAAGTCCTCCTGCTGTCTCTCCATTCTGAGCTTTTACTTCTCAACTGAATAAGTGATTTACTTAATCGTTCACAGTGAGCATTTTGTGTCTCAGATCTTTAGCCACCTTTTGGCCCTGCTGGAGCTCAGGGTTGGCGTCACTGGTGTAGAGTCCTGTCAGTGTCCATTAGTGTGAGTCCCTGCCGGTGTGAATAAAAGTATTTTTCTCCTTGCAGAGGTTCGGCCCACCTGACCAAGAATACTACTATAAGAAGTCAGATGAGCCTCAGCCAGATGACCCCCTTGACTCCTTGGGATCCCATAGATCTAGGACTCAAGGTGAGTAGCCACAATCATAATCATAAGCTGCATTGACCTAACGATATACACTTCAAGCAACACACCACTAACCATAAAATGGAGGAGGCACAAACACAGCCTAGACTCGACTTTTTGAGATGATGCAGGGACCTGAAACAGCTGCTAATGCTAGTATTTTTACTATGAACACAGAAGGACCCTTGGAAAATTGGAGAACTTTATGCAAGCTTGTTGTCATAGACTCTACCCTTCGAAGGGTCTACATACACAAAACCCATGATGACAAAAAAGGAGGCTGTGTTTTCAGCCTATTCATGCAATAAAAAAGAGCCACAAAGTAAGGTTTCAAAAACCCCAGCACCACTAGCACCATGCACACCCTTAACCAAACCAAAAGCTTAATTGCACCCATGTGAAAACTCTAATCCTTTTACTGATTAACTAGTATTTGCCTTATGCACCTCTAGTGTGGCTATTTACAAGTATCAGGGGATGTGTAGTGACATCTAGTGGCCTTTCAGCTGCAATTACAAACCTTTCTACAGTTGGCCTGCTGCACGTGTCGCAATATAGCAGAGTACTTTTTATAGTTTTAACATTAAAAAATATAATCCTAAAGCTGCAGACTCTCAAGCATAAACCAGTACAGGAGCCAGTGCAGTCCAGTGAAACAGAAACCAGTGAAGGTCACCCGTTTGAGCCTCTGCCACGCCGTCATCAAAACTCAAACACATTGAAATCTACCTCTACCTCCCATGTCAAGAAGCTCACTACCCATCATTTTCTATCCTTTATTTCAATCTGTTGATGTATGATTTTGCACGTCTGATGTTGTTTTACACATTTCCTGTTGTTGTTTTGCACATTTCCTGTTGTCTCCGTCTTTCTTTTCTTATACAATTATATTATTTTTTTGTACTGCTTACCGTCTGAGAGCTAGCTAAATAGCATTTCGGTATCCCATATACATGTATATGAGTATAATGACAATATACTGTACTTGAACTTGATTTGAACACCGTTATATGTGCTGGGGCTCAAGCTGAGAGTTCAGTTTAGCTCTTCACCACTTTGGCTCATTTCCTGTCCTCTCCCTCCAAGGAGCTGGAGAACCAGTAGGATTGTGGGATGAAACCTCTGGCATGACATCAAAGACCACGTCGGACCCTAAACCTGAGGTAACCATAGAGGATGTGCTTTTAAAGATTTTAGGTACCCAGTGCCGTTTATTTCTCCATGCTCAGTGCTCAGTGCAGTGTGGAGGAATATTGTGCGTTGGTGCAGTGTTGTAGTTTGCTTGTACATTTTGCACAGGAAAAGAAATGTAAAAATAGTAGTGTCATGTTGCTCCATATTTTTTTTTATAAGGAATCCCAGTACTTCATCAAATGCTGCCACATCAGGTAGTGCTTCGATTTGAAAATATTTACTTATTTCTTTTTGTCAGCCTCGGAGTAGAAAATGAGCAGCCCTGAAGATGTGACACCGCGGTCAGGCCCTGGGGGAGCCCCACCTCTCGAGACTCTTGTACCAAATCAGTAACGTGCGTGCAGTGGAATTCCAGCACTTGGCATAAGATGTCCTTCAGGCTGTTCCCTGAACGCAGGATCATCAAAGTTTGTGTCTGTGTCTGTATCGGACACCCCAAGAGCACACACACATGCGTTTTGCAGCCGGAACAGCAGAGCCACACAGAGTGACTTTGGGTGACTGTGACTGTCCCCCAAATTCTGCCCCTCTAACTGGGGTGAGCTGAAGCTAATCCTCCTGTCAGAAGCCTTCTGACATTCCAGCTGTGAGCGATACTTTTTTTGGTTCCGGATTAAAAAAAAGAAGTTAAAAATGTGAAATGACCTTGGTCTCACACTCCCTCCTGGCTGGGTAAAGAAACCTGTTCCCCGTCAGTGGAAGCTACAGGGAGTAAAGAATGAGGAAACGATTTGCTTCAGATTGGAGAGACGGGCAGAGGGGGGGTGGGAGGGCACAGGAAAGGACGTGCTTTCTGAAGAAAAATATAAAGCAGCTTTTTAAGAAGTGCAGAGTCGCTGCTCTTTAACCACAGGCCTCCTTCCAGCCTGTGGTTAAACGTCGTCCTTCAGAGCTGTTGCCTTTGCCCTGGTTAGCATTGCTAAACAAGGCCCCGTGAGGCAGAAACTTCCTGCTTCTCTGTAATCCCAGCTGTGCAGGGCTGGTGCTGGGCATCAGGACTGAGCAGCAGTGCTTTCTTGGGGTTACCTGCAGCAGGTGGAGACTGTGATTCCTAGGGAGAGGCCCCTGGGGTGTCAGGCCTCTGCATCGTAAGTGCTCCCCCACTTCTAATCAGCTTCATTACCACTGCCCGAACTCCAGGTTGTCTTGCGTTCCTGATCTTGCTAAATAAATTATATAAATGGTTTAAGAAATCTATTTTAAGAGTCAAATCTTTGCATTTTTTTTCCCTTTGTTTCACATTCACTGAAACATTGTGAGATAAAAGGCAACCAGGTTGTCCCATCTGTCCCTGATAACCTATGGGCTATTCTGACACAAAAGTCCTGCACTGAGTGCTTCAATGGATATTGTGTATTTCGAGGGGCTGGGAAAGAGCAAGAGTGAAGTGACTTTGGAAGGGAGTTTGCAGTGGTTTTAACTCTGATCAGCCAGGTAGATCCCTGCTGCTGTTCCCCCTAGGAGACCCTGACCACCAAAGTGCCTTGGTGTGGTTACCTAAGAGTAATACATGCAGTGCTTTAACCTCAGAGGCTCAGAGCAGCACTGACTCTTAGACAGTAGTAAACACTTGTCTTGGGAGATAGTCGGTTTCTAAAAGCAGTTACAGGCTACGGCACTGCACTGAGCTGGGGAGAGAGTTTCCTTATGTACTTCCTGCCAGCCGCCCCGATGCTTAGTAAGCAGCAGAGAGCAAGTATACGACGGAAGAGTTTCTTTCTTGTGCAGAAGACAGTGCCTCTGCTTGGCATCCTTTCCCCCTGGCAAGGGGAGTGCTCCTCCGGTTTTGACGTATCGGTTTGGCACTGTCCCTTCAGAGCCAAAAAACATGCTGGTGGTGTATTCTGGGATGAATGCGACTGAGCATCTCCATCAAGCACTCCAGCATATCTCCAGATGGTCTAGCCCCCCAAGAATCACCACCTCTCTCGTGCTTTCTGTAAATAACTGCACAGGAGCAGGGTGTGCCACATTCTCATCTTTTATTTTTTTATTATTTAAAACAAGAATTAAATAAGAAAAAAACGACACAACAAGGCGGGGGAGGAAAAAAGAACTAGTGGGTTAAAAGTGCATTGTATCTTGGATGCGGACGAGCCGGGCCGAGCTCTCTGCGCAGACAGAGGGACGGCTCAGCGCTGCGTCAGTGAACATGCTGCTTTCCGATTGGGCGGAAAAAACACAAACATGGGGGGGTGGGGAAAACCACCAAAGAAGTAGCTAAGTCACCTTTTCTAATGCTAGCCATGGGGTAAACCTCCCAGAAAATACACAGACAGGGAGGCAAGCCAGGAGTCCGACTGCTATCCTGGACAGGCTCCCCGGAACACTTCCCGGCAGAAGACAAGCGCTTTCAAGACAACCACTCCTACCTCCTGCTATGGAAGAACTCATTTTGGCAGAAGGAATGCGATTAATGTTTATATGATCAAATGTATACATCATTGCCTTCCTACTCTATGCATTAAGACGGGGCTGGAAGGAGGAGGGGGGGGGCACTGAGGGCGACCACTACCCACCCGCTCCGAAAACCTGTAATAACGCTGTGTCTGACAACAGTGTAGCCGTCAGCAAATTACACAGCAGCTATAAACAGCAGGTCCAGTTCACAGCAGCACAGTTAATTGGCCATCGAACACTTACATTTCAGTTCTGCACGAGAGGAAGAAACACATCAGCCGAGTAAACAGGAGATAAAAAAAAATGAGCTGAAAGTTCTCTTTGACAAAGACACCAGACTTGTAGGGAAAAGACTCAACAGTCAACAGGAAAGGTTACACAAGCAAGCAGGGATTTTGAAGAACTCCCAGATCCTCAGACCAACACTGGGAAACAAGAGTTACAGGACCAACCTAAGGAAGAGCACCTTCTAGAGTCTCAGCTGTAGCAAGACAGGCTTATCAGTCCGACAGTCTCCCAGTAGGATTCGCTTTTCATTCTTCCAAGGAAACGCCACATGAACTCACACAGGCTGTATTCGACAACTGGTGTACATCTCTATTTACAAATGATTTAAAAAAAAAAAGCAATGTTTCAAAAACCCATTTGTGAAAAGGAGCGATCAAAGGGCGTGGACCAGCGCCACCGGGGCCTGGCGCCGGAAGAGTGCCGGGTCGGATCGCTTGTGCTGTCCGGGCCAGGCGGGGTGTCACGGTGGGGTCGGAGGGGGGCCAGATCACGAGCTCCGAGCCTCGGCCGGTCCACCTGCCCGGAGCGGAGGAGCTCAGGGGGGCCGTTCTCAAGGAGCTCCTCCTCTCGAGGAAGACAGCACCCCTTCATCTGCCACCCCCGGCTCCGAGAGACCTCCTCCTACAGCGACAATTCCCACACGTGGCAGGTGACAGGGGTGTAGGTGCTCGAGGAGGCGTGAGGGGCTGAAGAAAAGTGCACAGATTCCGGTAAGTGTTGAATACAGAGTCTGTATAATGTAAGACGGGCAAAGAGCTGCTCATTTGCACTTCTAGCAGCCTGGACCCATTTCTGAGGAAAAGAAACCAAAACCGCCATGTTGTAATTGACTGAAAATCAAAAAGTCACAGAAAAGTTTCTATTTTGCCCCTTTCCTTTTCCTCACTGTAACGCTTAAAAGTTCCTTTACATTCTGACATTCCTGAGGTCTTTGTTGTTGTTGTTGTTGTTTTATTTCTGGTGTGGTCAAGTCTGGAATTACAAGATTAAAAAAAGGGATGTAGACTATTTTAGATTTCCCAAAGCTTTTTTTTTTTATATATAAGGATATATAGATAATTCCTTGCTTCTAAATATCTCGATCATTCCAGGAATAAATGCAAATCACTCGCCATCTGTACAACAAGAAAGC